ACGTTTCAGAGGTTTCTGAACATTTAGACATACCTCAAAAAAAATGGATGTGCGTGTGTGTATGTATGTATGTATGGAAACAATTTTTCGTCCACTTTTTCAGGCGCAAGGATGAGCCGATTCGAAAGATTCAAAAAGCATCCGATTCCTAATGATAGAGAGATGTGCTGATTAGATTTTGGCAAAGGCAGTTCTAGCCATTCTGAAGTTACTGTGCAAAGAGTGCAGAAAATAGAAATCGAGTTTTTGAGAGGAAGGAGTATCTGATTTAAATGATCTAAAAACATTCAATTTATAATGATTGGGAAAAAAGGTGATTAGTTTTTGGCAAAGGCAGTTCGAGGCGTTTCGGAAATACGGAGCTAAATGTGCAAAAAATCGCAGTTTTTCAGAGAAATAAGCATTTGGATTGGAATGATCCAAAAAAACGTTTTTGGGGAAAGAAAAAAACTTACTTTTGAATATAAAAAATAATTCAGATTTTCAAAACTTTAATTCGGTATGGGAAGTTCCAAGAATTTGCCTCAAGGCACGATGCCATACACCACTAGTTATTTTCTTTATATGAATTATAAATATCTACGAGTTTTACGAAAACATCGACTAATGATTGTTTTTTTTACACCAGTAGTTGTCCTTTTTCCAATTCTGGCATATTTTTAACAATTCTTTTTTTTGACTTTTTATTACTTTTCCTAGAATTCTCCCAATAGGCAATTCTAATTTAATAACATATTTTTTTGAGATAGTTACACGTCAAAAAAATTATAATTGACAGAAAATTGAAATGGAATTTTGTTCTCGAAATTTATCTTCTAAGGGCAATTTTCACAAGGAATTCATTTTATAATTGACAGAAATACAAAATTGAATTTTATTCTAAAAATGAATCTTCTAAGGACAATTTTCTCTCGATACCATATTTTATAAGATACTTTCAGAAGAAATTATTTTATGATTGGTTAAGACAAAAATCTAATTTTTGAATCTCATCTTCAAGTGGCAATTTGCACTATATATCACATTTTATAAAATACTCTTTTAGGAAACTATTTTATGATCAGTCAAGACAAAAATCTTACTTTATAATCTAATTATTAAAAAGCAATTTTTACTAGATTTTTTAAAACTTACATATCCATATTCTTTATAGAAGCAACCTACAAAGCACCTGGCTTTAGGATCTGAAGGAGTTTCTTTGTTCATATTTTCTAGTTCTTCTGAAATTATAAAAATAATATTATCATTATTAATATAAAAATTTAAATATTTATTTTTATTACTTAATCAATCAAGTTTCATATTAACAGAAATTAGCGTCAATGATATTTTTTATTGCCCAAAAATTTAAAATAACACCCAGATGATTATGATGTAGAACAAATTAGCATCCTTAATTCCAAAATAATAATTTTGTTTTCTGAGCTTAAATAAAAAATCATATTATCTCTGTCTGTCTGAGTGAAGTAATTTTAGTAAATTTTTACTCATATTTTTATAATTTTTTCTCATACATACATGCTTGGTTTATTAATACTAATATAATTTTTATGAATTATAAAAATACTTTAAATGAAAATTGTTTCAATGTTTTTTGTTTTATTTTTGCCTAATTACTTACTTGGATCAACTCCAGATTCTTCTATACATTTTTTTGTGATCTTCACCAGTTCTTCCTTGGCTTCTTCTGATAATTCAGGCTTGCCTGCCTAAAATTGATCAAAAAACAATTTAAACTAGGTTTATGTGGCATTTCGTCTTAAGACAAGTTGCTTGAAACATTCTGTATGTATAAAAATAACATGCTTAATTGATGAGAATTCAAATTCAGCGAATTTCAAAACTAATCAAAGAGCGCTCTTGTCGAATGGCTTTTACATTTTTAAAAACGGTTTAGCTCTGTTTTTATAAAATATCGACTAATGGCCAAAATTTGTCTCGCATACACACATACTCTTATTACATTTTTTTTTAAATTATTCAGAATACTTTGAAACGCCGAGGAAACAATAAAGCATTGCCAGATTTTCTGGATAATACTTCTCCTTTATTATCTTCTTTGAGATAAATAATAAAAATTAAAAAAAAAATGTTTAAATTAGGTTTGAATTATATATATATATATACTAGCAAACCCAACAAACTCCGTTTCGCCACCAGATGATTTCGTGAGAAATATGAAGAAATTTTTTTTTTGTTTTATATTTTAAGAAGAAAATTTTGATTTTGTTATACAACAGTAATAAATTTATTTTGATTAAAAAAATGAAGTGTTTTTTAGTTGAACTTCTCTAAGTAAATAAAAGTGAATCCGCAAATTATCCGTTTCATGGAAGTGATATTTGGTAAACCACATTTTTTGTTTTTTGGTCTGACGTTAACACAAACAAAGCGGATGGTCTTCCAACTCGTGAACAGGCCACGTATAACTGCCCATGTGAAAAACAATGATTTTCTAAATAATCTATTTGAAATTTATCCCGCAAACACTAAGCGATTGGCCTTGCGACTTGTTATTGCAAACGCAAGACGAACTGGATATTGCAATCGTTTGAAGTCAAACGGAAGACCAGTCAGAATCATTGCTATGTCACCAGATCGCCAGCAATTTTTGATTGAATGGTGAAATTCAGCGCGTGTACATCATTATTCATTGCGGCAAGAATTGCTCGTTGACTTAACCAAGCATAATTCTGATAATTCTCACTAATGTCATTACTCGAATTTTTAATTACGGTGCGTGAAGTTCCAGCAGCTTGTATAAGGCACGATGCCATGCACAACTTATTTTCTTAGCTATAAACCTTGCGGAGCCCGAGACCTTTTCAACGAATGCAAAATTGTCGAAATCGGTTCGTGCGTTCTGGAGTTATTTCGTCAGGAAGGAAAACCCAACTTATTTTTATATATATAGAAGATATATATATATATATATATATATATATATATATTATTTATTTATTTATTTATTTCTACTTACATGAACTGATACAACCACCAATGCAAAAGCAAAACCAATCACTACTGATTTGATCATTTTGAAATGATCAATAATTTCTATTAAATTACTATTATTTGATAATTAATTTTTAACTAATGTGTTAAAATTAACACCAATCTCAGTTTATATAGGTTTTTAAATTGTCCTTGAAATCAGAATAACAATTTAGATAAATGAGATGATAGTGGTGTGAAAAATAGTAGTTTTCAGGTAAAAATAAATTTTAGGTAGATATTTTACTGTTTTATTTGGTGAATATTGTAAGAAACTTAATTCAAGAATTTGCAGATTTTTTGCAAAATCTGCATTGTTTCATTTGATTTGAAATGAAAAGATGCTCTTATTAAGAGCTTTTAGATATTTCAAGTTCGATTAAACCAATTAATCACAGTGTCTAAAGAATTTAAATTTTATTTTTATTACCAACAATTTTTGAAGAAGTTGGATCTTAGATCTATTTTCCTATTAGATTTGTCAATTTTCAATTTTTTTATATATAAAGCATTTCAGATATTACTAAAATTGCATTATCCTTATTGCTAAAATTTAAATAAATAATAATTTTAGGAAAAAGTTTAATGTAATATCATGTAATATCAAGCATTTCAGATATTACTAAAATGGCATTATCCTTATTGCTGAAATTTAAATAAATAATAATTTTAAGAAAAAGTTTAATGTAATATCGTGTTGTTAAAAAAGATATGAGTAAAATGTGGTCTAGGAATGTTATCGTAAAATCAGATATTAAATTGAATTATAAATATGTGTAAAATTTATTCAATTGTTTGTAATTTTATTAAATATTATTAAAGTAAATTAATGCCAAAATTTCCATGAGTATGGCTTCAGTATAAGTTACTTGTTTTTACAATATTTTTCTAGTCTTACAATTTTATAATAGTGCTTCAAATATAACTTTTCTTTTTACTTTGAATACATAATATAAAGATATTTTACGTTAATATTTAAAATTTTATTAATTTCTGTTAATAGGCAATTATCCAAAAAAATATGTAGCCTCAGCAAAAAAAAATATTTCCATGAAACTTTGCATAGTGATTTTCTATTGACAGACTATAAAATTAATAATATGATAAAAAAAATGATTACAGAAGGTGAAGCCAAAGAATTGAATTTGTGATCTAATAAAAGTAAAAAGAAAAAAATCAATTGTAACAATAAATAACAATTTTAAAATTAATATTCAGTTCTTTTTTTTACTTTTTTATAAACAACCATCAGAACTATTCTTAAGTGTCTCATAACCTGTTGTAATGTATTTCCTTAACATAATATAGGTACAAGGCAACTCAGTGGTAATCTTTTTCTGTTAACTGTAGCAATGTCCCTTGAGGCTATTTTCACTTGATATCATTTTCATTTTTAAGTAAGAACTTGAAACTGCTTGATATCATGTTGTTCTGTGCAGAATTGACCTTGAATTTTATTTGTTGTAACTTTTACTATTTGAGTCCTAATTTTCAGCCAATAAAAGATTTTTAAGAACAAATTCAGTCTCACAATATTCTGAATTTAAAAGTACATATTTTTCAAATCAAATTTTAGAGCTTAGATAAAATTTACCTAATATCGATATTTATCTTTGTCTTTTTACCATTTCGGACATCATTATTAAATGGGATTAATTGTGTGTGCAACATGTTCTGCTTTTAATTCACCAATTTGAATAGGAATCATTATATTTGTGCTCTCATAAACCGAATCGCGAAAAAAACATCCGGCCATTATAATAGATTAATAATAATAGATTCAGGATTCGACGATCGAAAACACGACGACTCTGGTCTATACTATGACTACAATTACGGATTTTATGCAACTGCAAATTATTTAATTAATGTCATTATTTAGGTGCAGTTTTGCCATAATGAAATGCATCTGATACATAATAATATTAATTTAGAATAGTATTTTTTTCATATTTGTTACAGGCACGTGGCATTAATTCTTATGACATAGACAAATATCGTGTCATCTTGTTTGACCCGGATGAACTTCTAAATTTCTGATTACTGAACCAATTTTGGAAATGATTTGCTTTCCAGCATCTTTATCCAACTTGGTCCATGAGGATAGTATTTTTTTTAATTACAATATTTATTACAACTATTAAATAATTTAACATCTAGCAATAATAATAAATAATAACATAAATTTAAATAAATAAGAGTAAAAAGGATAGAATTTACATTAAAATGATATCCGTAGTATGATGATTTAACATAAAATAAAAGCAAATAATAATACAAATAAAATCAATGAATAAAATAAATAAGTGGAATTAAAACAATAAGTGACAGATAATGAATATAACAAAATGAGGATAGAATAAATCTCAATTCTGTCCAACATTATTCAGCATTATTAAGGGGGCATTTATTAATCACGTGAGGATTTTAGGGGAAGGAGGAGTTTGACAAAAAAAATCACGTGGGGGAGGGGTATAGTAAGATATTACGTGCATTTATTTTTTAACCAGATTTTGTTCGAAAAAAATGCAAACATTTTCAAAATATCAAAAATTTTATCATTTTTTCTCGTAACTAAAAATACATGTGATTTTTGGTAGGGGGAGGGGGCTAATTTTGAATATTACCAAGGGGGGTCCAAATATCACTAAAAAATCGATCACTGTTAAGAGGACCTTAACAGTGACAAATTTGATGAAAAACTAAGTGCAGCAAAATCTTTCAACATCCAAGTAACAATTTTTAGATATTTGTGGACAATTCCTGATTAAATTGATATATAAAAATTAATGTTAATTCATATGGAACAAATCAGGAATTTAAATCTAAGGCTTTGGGGCGACTTTACACAGTATTCTAGAAAACCGAAGTGCAACAAATTTTAACCTAATTTTGAAAATTCAAATGGGAGACAACACAAGTCCTTATCACGTTACATCGAATGGCTTTTCAAATTTTGGAATCAGTGCAGCAGTTTTTGAAAAATTGTAGATAAAAGGTCAAAAATTGTCTTAAGTATATACTTACTTTCTGCAAATCAGGTTGAAATAATTAATTAGAGTTAATTGTAACTAATTCGACTAAACATAAAATTAACAAATAGAATTTTCTGGCTTAACTTGGGAAGTTAATATTTACTTCTTTGTAATCAGGGTGAATGTTAGGCTTCTAATAAGTCTTGTATTTCAGAGAGAAAATAATTACAGAGTTGACAAGAAAAATCACATTATATATTGTTGTATGTATTTACAATATATTATATTACTAATATAAACATTTATACAATGATTACATACAATGCATCAAATTTTCCTTTCTTGTATATAGTAAATCTCTATATAAAATGTCGTCTAAAATTGCATTCAATAAGCAGAATGCTTTCAATATTTTTTATTTATTCAAACATTAATATAAAATCTGAAAAAAAAATTAAGTCGTTTATTCTTCTAGAATATTGTACAAAGTCATCATTTAATAATTAAATTTTAATACCATCATCATCATTTAATAATAAACTATTTATCAATTTAGTTATTTAGTAATTTGCTTATTTATTCATCCATGCATTATTTTATATATTTATTGATTATTGCATATATGTTTTATTTAGTTTTTATTTTATTTACTACTATTTTACTTTATCACTTATTTAATAATAATTAATAAGAATATAATACATGTATGTGTATATTAATTATTGTATAATTCATATATTTGGTAATTTTTATTTGTTCAGTTCTTCAAAAATGCATGTGTCCACATATTTTTATAGATGTTTATACAGTTGAGTATTTTTTTTTATCTATTGATTAGTATTTGAATTATTGATACATATTATTTTTATTTGAATCATTTTTTGTATGTATTTATTTATTATATATTAAGTAATTACTGTATATATAACAGTGAATAAACGACTTTGAATTCGATATTTCAATTCTTTAGCAATAAATTGAAAATTCGGGACATTTTTTTTGGCTTTTGTCAAATAACTCAAAACCCATTTTCAGTCAGATAGGGTGCAACTACATTATATTTACTACAATTCCATTCCAACAGTTGCACATGGTCCAAAAGAATTGCTTTCAATAAAATAATGACTTTGAATTTTATTTTTCATTCTTTAGCAATAGATAGAAAATTCGGGATTTTTTTGTTTTTGTCAAATAACTCATAAACTTTCTATGGGGGCACTCTTTTCTAGTTAGCTTAGGAGAAACTAGATTGAATTTACTACAATTCCATGCCAACAGTTGCACATGGTCCAATAGAATTATTTTGAATAAAACGACTTTTAATTCGATTTTTCATTCCTTAGCAATAAACAGAATATTATTAACTATTGTTTTTGAACATATAAAATAATAAATTATGCAATATCTACCCATGTCACCTACGCAAATAGGAAATTGTGCAATTCTTACATTTGCGTAAATATTATCATCATCATCATAGGTTTTGATCTTGGTTTCAAAATCCGAAGTCAGTATCTGAGAAACATTTTCTAAATTTGACCAATTTTGAAAGAATTTAGCAAATGTTTGCTTGGCCAGTTCTTTTAATTTTTGCTTTGGGTTGCAATTTGGGTATAAATGGTTAGTAGATACAGTTCTAGAAACAGAAACCTTAACAAGACAATACTGAGTTTTATTCAAAAAATAAGTCAGTATCTGAGAAACATTTTCTAAATTTGACTAGTTTTGAAAAAAAAATTAGTAAATGTTTTTTGATCAGGTTTTCAAAATATTATTTGTATATTTCTATTATATTTTAAGCAGGTAGTGTAGTAAAAAAGGATATTCAGAATGCAGGTCCTGAAAAAAATGGAAAAATCGTTTACATCCTTGTAATCGACGCAGGATCGACAGGATCCAGAGTTGTGGCCTATAAATTTTCAAAAACAGGTATTTTTAATCGAAATGGATAATTGGAAATGATTATTTGCGGTAAGACAACCCGTAGAAATAGCATTACATTGTTAACACATTTTTTTTTATGAAAACTATGAACTAGTGATGAAGCTTTTAATAATATATTGTTATTAAATGGAATTGTAATTTGGTCAAGTTTCATCAAAATTATTGACTGATGATAATTTCTTTTTCTAACAAATGCAGGTAGAGATCTCCAATTGCTGGATGAAAAATTTGTGAAAGTCAGACCAGGATTATCATCATATGCACATGATCCGGAATTGGTAAGGTTTTTTGAAATGCACATTTTTTTAAACTGCATCATTTATAAAATACTGGTTAAAATTAAAAACTTTAACAAAAATGCATTTTTGTTACATCAATTTACCTGTCCTTTTCACTTGAGGTTATAGATCACAATATAATTTCAAGTGGAAATCGTCCTTCGTGGACATAGCTACATTATTCAATCATATGATAATTATTATTAATTTGGAAATATGAACAAACAACACTCTTTTTGCACTAATTTATTAAATAATAATTTTCACAAACGTTTCGAGACTAGGTTTGTCTCATCATCAGTGTGTTATAATTAAAAAAAATTTTTAAAATATGGAAATCTAAATTAGCATGTTGTGTTTTTCATTACACGTCGTTCACTGCACGTTGTTCTTTTAATACCAATGTCTTCGGTATTCTGATAATTATTATACTTCGGTATTATGATAATTATTATACTTAGACATAAGAGCTAATATAAACCCTACACATAGGAGAATGGTTAACCGATGGGTTGCCTCTCATACAATACGTTTGGTTATAAGTCTTCAACAAACAGCTTATAGAACATGTAAAGTAAGAGTTCTGATTGCTGTTGAAAGAATAAAAAAAAAAAAAATTACATGTCCACTATTATCACATTATTATCGACTAAAGTTTATGATGACCTAGTTTTAAATTAAAATATTTAAAGTTATCTTATAGAAATACAAATCTACTCCTTTTTTTTATTAAAGGGTGCACAAAAGATTTACGAGCTCGTCCAACAAGTCGATAAGTTTGTTCCCGATGAACACAAATCAAAAACTGAAGTTTATCTAAGGGCTACAGCAGGATTAAGACTTTTAGGTGATAAAAAATCTGCAGAACTTCTCCAAGTTGTCCAAAATGCCTTGGAATGTACTGGTTATAAAGCTCCTCAGGATGCAGCTGCTATGTTGACAGGAGTTGAGGAAGGATTGTTCTCTTGGTTCACTGTTAACTATTTTAAACGTAAGAAAAATAGAAATTTATAATATTATTTTTAAATATCAGACCCTATGGTTTTTGATACTTCTATTCATCATAAATTTTATAACTTCAATCAAATCTAAACTAAGTTTGGTAAGGTAAGATCACAATCTCAAGGACCGATGCTGCCGCATAACAGACCAATGTTATGGCAGGACTATGTTATGAAGAACTTTCCATACTAAATATTGACAAAAACCATGTGATTTCTGTGCAGTCAGGCGTTTTTCTCACGTTGTCAGATAGAAAACCTAACCTAAAAATCGCACAAATGTCATAAAAACGATGTTAGATAACAGGGTCTTTCTGACCCAGCCTCATAATATACGAGTGACGTTGCAGTTTATGTGTAAAGCACCCGAATACATAACATTTTGATAGTTTTCAGTATGATTCAGTAGCATAATGTATGGAAGTTGGATTATCACATGGCCTTGCCATAACATTGGTCTGTTGTGCAGCAGAATCGGTCCCTTAATCATCAAATAATCAAGTTTATTTTTCCATTATTTGTATATGAAGCTTCAATACAATTACATTAGTTAATTTTTTTTTTTAAATTTTACGGTTACGACAAAAAATGAGTTTGAGGATGTTAGAGTCAAAAATTGGTGTTAAATGGTATATAAATACCATGGTTTATAAATACCAGGGTGGTGCTGACTTGTATTTTGTTTAATATTAAATTAAAGTCCAATTACTTTAATTTTATGTACAGGCATTAAAAGTACAAAAAAGTTTCAATAATTTTTTTTTATTCTAGATTCTTTGAAAAAACATCACACTTATGCAACATTGGAAATGGGCGGTGGATCTTCACAAGTAACATATGAAGTAAATCGTCCATATGTTCCTTATGTGAGAAATAGTATTTATGATTCTCCAAAACCGAATATTAAAGTTTTTGCCCACAGGTGAGGAAAAAACTATAACTTTTTTTTTTAAATTATTGAATCCTTTTTTTAAATTTTACATTTTAGAAATAATTTAAAAGAAGTAATTAATGTGCAAATAATTAAAGATATTTGTAGAATTTGCAAAAACTAAGAATGTTAAAACACAGTTTTTAATACAAAGTTAATTTTATTTTTTTTTATTTTTATTTCAGTTACTTGGGTTTGGGTCTAAGTGCTGCCCGTCAAGGAATTCTGCAATTTGACTATCCCCATCCATTGCACAATAATTCACATGTAACAAGTGTTTGCTACGACAGATTTACTCCATATAAAAATTTTACTTTCAACAACATGGTATTACATGTCAGGTAAATAAGCATTTATAATAAGCCATAATTATAAAAAATAATACCTGAACTTATAACCAATTATAAGATCGAATTAGTGGGGTATGGTATTGTACCTTAAGGCAAATTGCTAGGACTTTCTGTTTCATAATAAAATTTTTGAGGAATATTAAATGTTTTCAAATATATTATTATCAATGCAGTAACTCTCATTTTTCGTATTTTATAGACAAAATATTAGAGCTTATAAATTGGACCATGGCGATTACATAAGTTTATATGAAAAGTGAATAAAGAAAACTTAATCAAGCGGAATTAGATTGAAGGTCCGTGTTTCATATTCTTAAGAATTATATAATCTGAATTGAAAATGTTAAAATAATTTATTTCAGGTATATAAGTGAGCTTCAGAATTTTAGCTGAATTTTTTCCCCAAAAATGACCGTTTCGTCGATAGAAGCAAAAGGTTTTTTGCTTGAATCATTCAAATCGGATCTTCGTACTTTTAAAAACTGCCATTTTCTGCACATGTGGCTTTGTGTCTCCAAAACAGCTGGACCTGTCCTTGCGAAAACCTAATCATTATTTTTCCCCATCATTACAAATTGATTGTTTTTTAAATAATGCAAACCGGATGCTCCGTTTTCTCAAAAACCTGATTTCTATTTTCTGCACTCTTTGCTTCGTATCTCCGAAACGGCAGGACCAACTTTTGCCAAAAACTAATCAGCACGTCTCCTTATTAGTTAGGAATCGATTGTTTTTTGAAAAATTGTATCCATACGATGTATGGCATACATACACTCATACACACACAAACATTCATTTTCTCTAAGGTATTACAAAATAAACAAAAATCATAATATATCAAGTAGGGTGGGGAGGGCTGTAGTAAGACATCGCGTGTATTTATTTTGTACCTGATTTTTTTGAAAAAAAAAATCCAAACATTTCAAAAAATATCAAAACTTTTACAATTTTTTCTCAAAACTAAAAATACACATGATGTTTGTGGGGGAGGGGATGGCTAATTTTGAATATTACCAAGGGGGAGGGAGGTCCAAAAATCTTTAAAAAATGTATCACGTTATTAATGGACGCTCCCAAGTGGCGCAAAAAACAACCCATACACATAAAAAATAAGAATAATGAATGCTACTGTTTTATAATCTATTTGAAAGCATTTAATATTCCTCAAATATTTTATTACAGAACGGGAAGTTCCAGCAATTTGCCTCAAGGCACAATGTCATACACCACTAGTTTTATAATTTTATTGATATTCATGGCAGGATAGTTTTTAAAACAATTTAAAAACAGAAACGTGACAAGTGCTGCCACAGGTGGTGGCACACATGAATGTACTTAGCGACTCCCATAATTGCACAATTTAATATCTATGGAAACGCTACGATTTTGACAGATGGGTTCCAGAGACAACTTCACTTGTGTTTATAAGAATCAGAAATAACCTATTGTATACTAAACAAATTCAATAATAATATTTATATTATATTTTGGTTAATCTTGCCGGTATTAAATTTAGTGATTTTCGCTAAATTGTGCTACCACTCGGATTTGTTGACAATGACTGATTCAAACCCTACTAATTTGTTTAAGCTAACAGACAAGAAAGTGGTGGCAGATATATTCCACAAATATGTAGAGAAAGAAACTTCAATACCCTTAATAATTGACAATGGGTCGTACCAATGTAGAGTAGGATGGACTTCTGATGAATCACCCCGGCTTGTTTTCAGAAACTTGATAGCAAAACCCCGCAAAGAAAGGGTGAGAAAAGATAATGAACCCCCAACTACCCCTCCAATACAAATTGGTAATGATATAACTAACATTGAGGCAGTACGTTTTCAGTTAAAAACCCAATTTGATAAAGACATCGTTACGCATTTTGAAGCTCAGGAACAAATCCTGGACTATATTTTTGCACACATAGGTATCGACACTGAGAGGAGTGTGAAGCATCCTATAGTTATGACCGAGGCGTTATTAAATCCTAATTATACAAGGAATTTGATGTCTGAATTGTTGTTTGAGTGTTATGATGTTCCTTGTGTGACTTACGGTGTTGATGCTTTACTTAGTTTTTACTACAACCGGAGAACATGCATAGATATTGCAAGTGCATTAATAATATCCATAGGTCACAATACTACACATGTTATACCCGTAATAAATAACATAAGCATTATTGAGAAAGCAAGAAGGATCAACATAGGTGGTTCTAACATCACAAGCTTTTTGCACAAACTATTACAACTGAAGTACCCGGCTTATACAAATATTATTACACCAAGTAGAGTTGAAGATATAGTTCACGATCATTGTTATGTTTCTGCTAACTACTTAGAAGAAGTTAAAAAATGGGGTTGTGTGGATTATTACCAGCAGAATGTTAAGAAAATTCAGTTCCCAACACCTACGGTAACCGTGAATCCAGGTTTAACACCAGATCAACGGTTTGAGCGCAGACGCAGTTTAGCACGTAGGTTAATTGAGATGAATGCTAGAAAAAGAGAAGATAAATTAGTACAAGAGCGACAGCTACTTGCTCGTTTAACTGAATTGCTGCAGTACCTTGATGATGGGCACACGACTGACTTAATAGATGATATGGGTGATTTTGATATTAAAACCTACGAGGATGTTGAAAAAGCTATTGTATGTGTGCAAGCACGTATTGAAAAAGCTGAACAAAAGGCTTACCAAGCTGCAACAGAAAGTACTTTAGAATCTGAAGCTTTAGAAGAAAGTTCTGTGAAGAATTTGGGACCGGAAATGGGAACAGATATAAACGAGTGGCTCAATATTACAAAAAACAAGAGACAAGCTATTTTAGACCACAAGGCTGCTAAGAAACAAAGACGTTTAGATATGGTACGAAGACGCACAGTTGCTGCTCAGGAGCGTATGAGAATAATTTCACAGTTAGCACGTAAGGAAAAGGGTAATGATGATTTTGGCATACGTGATGAAGATTGGGATGTATACAAAACCATCAGTAAAGAAGGTGGTGATAGTGATAGCGAGGAAGAGAATGAAAAACTGGCAGAACTTGAAGACATTCTGCGCCATTATGATCCTTCGTTCATCGACAGTGTGGACAACTGCAAATCCATATACAACGACATGGGTGACTCACACCAACTGAATTTAGGTTTAGAACTAATTCGTGCCACAGAATTGTTGTTCCAGCCGTCTATCATTGGTTGTTCTGAAGCTGGGCTAGGAGAAACCATCGAACATGTCTTCAAAATGTTCAATCCCGAAGACCAGTCCATTTTAGCACAAAATATCTTTATCACCGGAGGTTGTGCGAATTTCGCAGGCTTAAAAGAGCGATTAACAATGGAACTCACACAAATTCGTCCTTTTGGGAGTCGGCATCACATAAATGTGGCAACTTCGCCGAGTTCAGATGCCTGGAATGGGGCTAAAGATTTATCCAGTGATACGTCTATTGCTATTTCTAAAGATGATTATTATGAAAAAGGCGGAGAATATCTCCGGTCACATAAAGCCTCTAATATTTATACCAAAAGTCCTACAGAAAGTATTGCAGATGACAATTAAATTATCAGGTTGTAAATTTATATGGTAATAAAAACCTACATAATAATATTTGTTACTCATTGAGAAATTAATTGTAAACTAGTGGGGTGTATGGCATCGTGCCTTAAGACAAATTGCTGGAACTTGCCGCATCGTAGCAAAGTGTTCGAGAAACATTAAAAAGTTTTCAATTATATTATTATAAATAAATATTGTAACATTGTCTAATATTTATAAGAATTATATAAACAGAAATGCAAAGTTAAAAATATTTGTTTAAAGTATATTAGAACTCGAGTAAGAGACTCGAAAAAATAAAATCTGAATTATTTTCGACAATTTTTTTTTTTCTGAAAAAAAAATATTTGGAACAAAATTTTCTTTTCTAAAACCAATTATTTTGATAAAACTAGCAGAAAGTTCTTTGAATATTTTAAATCGAACTCTTAGTTCCCTCAAAACCTGCCTTTTTTGCACATTTAGCTCTGTATCTTCGAAATGGCTGGGCCTGCCTTTGCCAAAAACTAATAACTACTTCTCCCAATCATTACTAATTGAATGTTTTTTAGATCATTCAAATCGGATTCTCGTTCTCTCAAAAACTCGATTTCTATTTTTTGCACTCTTTGCTCTTTATCTCCGAAACGGCTGGTTTTGCTTTTGCCAAAAACTAATTAGCACATCTCCCTATCAATAAGGATCGAATGTTTTTTGAATCATTCAAATCGGTTGATACGTGCGTCTGAAAACGTGGACGAAAAATTGCATCCATACATACATACATTCACACGCACATTCATTTTTTCTAAGGTATGCCAAAATGTTCAGAAACTTTTGAAACGTAAAGTTACGCAAAAATTTTAATTTTTGATTTTTTTTGCGATTACTAAAAAAATAAAAATATGCATAGTTTTATTGAAATAGACAAAGTTTCAGTTTTTGCAATTATTTTTTTAAGAATTATCAGCTTGATCTTTCCCAGAAACTAATGAGCACAATTTCTAACTAGTTTATTTTTTTTTTGAATTCAATTTCCAATTATTATCTTTTTTGAACTCCAACGCTTTTGAATTTTCAAAATTGGTTCTGGATTTTTATAAGAACGAAGTTTAAAGAGAGTACTATTATAAGTACTCATAAATAAATTGTTTGAACATTTTTCTGTGCAAAACAGAGAAAATTAGGTTGTGGACAGTAGATATATATAATAGTATAATATTCGTTTTTATATATATATATATTTTTTTTTATAAAAATATATTATAAAAATTCTCTGTCTTGCACAGGAAAATTTTGTAACAAGTTATTTATAATTATTATTCATTACCTGTAAATATAATTGTTTTCATTGTTAATATTATTATTTATTCATTTATTTAATTCTATTTCTTTTCTTAAATTTCTTTTATTCTATTTTTTTCTTGATTATGATTTTCAATACCGCATCAGTTTTCATTTATAAGCGATATTGTAATCTGATTGTTAAAACTAGCAATAATAAAAAAAAAACTACCATTATTTACTTTATTAATATGAAACGCATTTACTTTCGTTTTTATTTTAAAGTCTGAAAAATAAAAATATTTTTCATATGTTTTATGAATAAATTATCAAATAAATTTAATAATAAAATATATTGGAGAATAATGATTTCAAATTTATTTTAGAGGTAAACCAAGAAGCAATAAACAAATTGGAGTTGATATTAAAAAATGCAGAAAACGTGTTCTTCGATTTGTCAGAGACAAAAATCGTTCCTGTTCCTTATGGTCTTCACGAAGAAGCAAATGTGGCTCTGAGTGCATTTTACTACAGAGGAAAATCTGGAAACGTTATAAGTAAATAAAGCATTTATTATATATATATATATATATATATATATATATATATATATATATATATGGAATTTTTATATATTTAGCAGACCTAATATATAGACACACATAAACCATATTTTGGACAAATATTTGATATTGAATTCAACCAAATATATTTTTTTATGGAAACTACAGTTTTATGTTAAACTTTTATAGTTATTTCAAATCTTGTTCAGCTTTTACATCAATATACAAATTATACATTTAAAATAAATTATAAAATATTTATAAATAGTATATACTATAGTACTATTTTATTTTATTTTAGCTGATGAATATGGTGTCACGACCATTGGAAAAATTTGGAAAAAGTTACAATTGGTTTGCAGATATCCAAATAGCAAAGAACCTTTCCTGTGTTTGGATCTTATTTATATACATACTTTACTTACGAAAGGTTTCAGACTTCATAATTGGAATATTGTAGAGGTATAAATTTTATTATATAAATATTTTAATTGGATTATTTTAGTTAATTCAATTTACAATTGTAAATCTTTAGTTTAGATGGTGATTCTTATTTTAAATAAGAGTTCAATATTTTATAATCGATTGAATTAAGATATTTTCTAAAGATTTGGATATGATATGATTTTTTAATTTAGATGGTGATTCTCATTTTAAATAAGAGTTCAATCTTTTATAATAGATTGAATATAAATATTTTTTTTAAAGAATTTGAAATGATGTTTATATCAAAATTACTGCCAATGTTCAGATGATTTTGCATTTTTAAAGCTTTTAATTTTTATTTCTGAAATTTTATACTGGTAAATGAAAAAAATATTGTGTATGAACAAAAGATATAAAGATAAACAATTTTTCTATTTTAATCTTTATCAAATTAGATTTATATTGAATATATAAAATAAAAAAGATCATTAAAATAAATAATCAATAATATAGAAACAAGTAAGCTACTACATGTAGAAATTGTACTTCATAATTGCAAAACTTGTTTTTTAATCATAATTATTAAATTAAATATAAATTAAATTTAATTTATCTTAATTATAATAATAATTGCAGTTAGAAATTGAAAAATATAAAATATTATAAATTTTATTTAGTGAGTAGTTAAAAATACTAGGTCTTTTGTTAATATTTTCTATATTCTTTATTATATTTTAGATGTTGAACTCGTATGACAACCACGAATTATCCTGGGCCTTAGGATTTGCTTATAGCAAAATAATGAAAACTATGCCACCTGCAATACCAGTTTTGGATATAAGAAAAAAATCTAAGAGAAATAAATCAGAATGTTCTACTTATGAATTGAAAGCAAAAACCAAACCAACTCCGGCAACTCCTGTACCGACTGTAAATTCTGATCCAACTAAACCAACCGTGCCAAAATAAAAAATAATACATAATGCATATTTTATTTATGTATAAACCAAGAAAAATAAATGTATTATACACATATTTCTTAAATTCAATTTGAGATAAACTTACAGCTGGTAGTGATATTATATTGTTAACATATACATATGTATTGAAATAGAAAATATTTTCTAACTAGATATTAAAATTATTTGGGTTGCCTTAGGTTGTAAAATTTTATCTAACAAAAATATAAACAAAAACAAAATTTATATGATTTATAATTTATATAATGTATAACTTATATAATTTATAATTTATATATAATTGTTTTAAGTATATAATATATACATATTATATATAGTTTATATAATATATACATATTATATATAGTTTATAATATATATATATATATATATATATATATATAATTCAATTATTTATAAAATTTATAATTTATATATAAGATTTTAATTGATAAATTTATGATATTTAAAGGTTAACCACCCAATGTGTCCAATAAAAATTTATATTAATGTATTTGATTTACTTTAGAGCAAAATTATTACAGTAGATATTGTCTACATAAATCTTTATAAATTAATTACAATATGATTTTTATTAATTCAAACGAATTGAATTGAATCTTTGTAAATTAAACATTAATGTGATCGATTGTGTTTAAATTTTAAGTTTGAACTTCGCGCTTTGACTTCCATCCAACTTCACTTCGCACATAGTAGCTGCCATGTTTATGGCAGCCATTTTGTTGGTTGTCAAAAAGTTATTTGTGAAAACGCATGTGGTGGTATGTAATTTGTTAAATTTCTAATTAAATTTGTAATTAAATTTAAATAATTAATGCTTCACATTGTTTAAATAACTTCCTAGAATAATTTGGTGTAAAATAATGTATAAGAACGCTGGAACAGGTGTTTGTTAATGTTCTTACAACTTTTGTGTAACTAATGGAGGTTATCTTTTACAGGACCATAAAGGTTTTAATTAAATATTGCATTTACAGCGATCCCAATGTATCCTTTTTTATATTTATATATGTAATAATATGAACTAAATATATTTAAGCATCAGCAAGTTGTAAGAACTTTGGCAAAATCTATTCGAATCAAATTTCATACCACTAATGTATTCACAAAAGTGCACAGTAATCAACTTTTATACTACGAATGTTTTACAATATAAGTATAGTAATGTCGTGTATTGTGTAAAGACTTTATTAAGACAATTACAAGTTGTAAATCGTGTATTGTAAAAATGTGTGCAAAAGTGCAAGTGATTAGAAAGTTCCAGCCTCGACTGTTCAGGCAGCTGCTTCAAGGACTGGAATCCTCAAAGTGAGTCAAATGCTTTTGTTTTATAGATGATGAGTTAAGAATACTTTATGGATCATATACAGACGTTTAGTTATTAATTTATTTTAGGCTTGCATCTAGATATATTCTTATTTTATATATCTTACATACCTACAAACCATTGGTTATATAGAAAATGGTGTAAGGACACTTTTGTTTTTAAAAAAAGAGTTGTAATGCAATTTGTGCTATCCCGGCAATCCTGGTTAAATTTCATAAACATTTCCATGACTTGTACAAAGTAAATGAAATTAGATAATCATCATTTATGAAAATTGTGCAAGTCCAATACACCACTGTGCACAAATTAAAATTATAACTTTATTTAGGTTATAACTTCCTGGAATGTTAAGAAATTTTCAAATAATTGCTTTTGTTTCGTGGTACAAAAATGCCAGTCACATAATAATAAAAATACAAAGACATATTGCAATTCCTATGTACCGAAAATGCATTATGCATATTTCTTATTCACAAACACTTCATCTTATAATTGATTATATTAAGATTGATTATATGATTGAATAAATTATAATTAAATCGAATTTTACAAAATAATAAGAATACAAAATTAAGTTTTATGTCTTGTTATGCGTATTTGTAAACAAGATTAATGGATTAATGTGATGTATATTTTTCATCATAGTCACATTACTACGACTGTATGGTAGATTGACATCAAAACTTTTATCTTATTTCTAGGTCTGTTATTCTTATTAATCAAGTGATAAATTGTCTTTAATTATCAATAGACTTATGATATTTTATTTAACATAAAAAAGACTTCTTTATTCTTCTTGGAACTCTTAAAATCCTTATTTACGAACACTCTAAACATATTTTCATTCAATGATATCATGTCTTTCAGCATCATCAGAGGTTAATTAATCAGCTTTCTTGTTTCCCTAGTCTAGACATACTATCTTTCACTACTATTTAATTAGACTGTTCAAAATTTAAATAGACTAAACAAATTCACACACATTTAATTTGAATTATTATGAATTAAAGATACCTTATTCTAACATTCATTTAATCAATGCCATAGACAACTTTATTGCTCTAGTAATAGAGTGGAAACTCCAATCAACATATTAATTAGACCTAATAGATTAATTTTATTTTTAACTTACCATTTTATTGCTTCTCTATATTTTTTATTCAAATATTACACATAAGAATTTGTTAAAGAAAATTTTGTTTGTAATAACAAACTTTAACATACTTTTAATAGTTTAATAGTTTTTAACCATTAAATCAATTGATTTTTGTAAGTTATTTATACTAATAAATAAACAGCATACACCTATTCCCTGTTTTACATGGTACTCGTTTAAGGAAAATAATCTTTTCTAACGGAATTTATACTAAATTATAAAAACTGAACTATAATTTGCTTATATCTACAATAACATTTTAAAAAAAAATTTAAGAAATGTATGTTACGGTTATGAATTTTTAGTCTAAATTTATTAATTTTGCATTTATACGTTTATAAACAATACACTATAATTTTCTTATATCTACAATAACATTTTAAACAAAATTTTAACAAACGTATGTTACAATTAAGAATTTTCAGTACTCTGTGTCCATGATAGAAATATGTAGATTCGAGCAGAAATCCCTGTTTTATGACCAAAACTAAATTTGTTGTGTGTATAAGCTAGTTTGTTTGAAATATCAAAACAAAGAGCAACATTGTTTTTAATTGGTCTTTATATATATAATTTATTCAAGTTGAGCAAATAACAGAATCATTTTTTACAAAATCTTTAATTTATAAAATTATAGTTCGGCAATGACAGAAGATAAAATAATAAATTAGAGAGTAAAATGAAGGTTATATCTGTACTAGTCAATTTTAATTTTCATCTATAAAGAAATGCCTTATTTTATAGTTTTTTTTTAATTTGTTTTATTATCCAAATGAATTAATATTCTTATAATTTATTAAATATGTTTGATATTAAATATATTGATATTTATTTATTTTTAAGTATTTGGTATTTATAATATTAAAAACTGACAAAAAAGGCATTTTTCTAACGATTTTTATTTAGCACGGTTTTTCCATATAAAAACTTAACATTTTACAAACTTTTGTAATGAATTTATTATACAGCAAGCAATATTCAAATGATTTTTACAAATTTTATTATTATTTAAATGCAATGATATTGTAGGGTACGAAAACAGTCTGTGTATGATTCATAAAAAATGTATTCTAGCTCATAAATAATTGACATTTTTCACACACACATCTTCTTCAATTAAATTTTATATTTGATAAAATATAATGAATATATTAATGTCAAAAGATGTTTGTGTAAAAGTTTTCGAATATCACTTTTATTAGATTCATGACAAAATTCTAAAAGATGAAAAAGATAATCAATGATGCGATTAATATCAATTCATTACTTAATTGTTAATTCTACAAGTGATACTCGATAACAAATAAATAATTGTTATGGGGTGAACATAATGATTCAAATTTTTACTTGTTCTTGCAATTTCAGTATTGAATTTTTTTTTCAAGCTTCTTGTAAATTATAATTGATTTAAAATCGAACTTATTCATGCACTTCTAGTATTATATTGAATTTTTTTTTTTGCAAGCTCCCTACAAATTATAATTGAGTCAAATTTTTACTTGATCATGCAAATTCAATATTATATTGAATTTTTTCCTACCATTTATAATTGTTCTTTCAATTTCTAATTTATTTAATATTTGTAGTTGTTTTATATTTGATAAATAAATATTTTGTTATAATTATTACAAGTATTTTGTCAATTACACTTTGTTTCAATTCAATTTGTAGTTTTTATATTTTGAATCATATGTTCACCTTAAAGTGATACATATATATTGCTCGAATTTCTTTTGTTGTATGAAAAACTATTATAATTTTTGATCAAAACTATTAATATACTCATTATGATTTTTAAATTGCATTATTATAAATTTTTCATTAAAATCTTGTTTTAAATTTCTTCATTATTTTGATAATTTGTTAAAAAAACAGTTTTGATCAAGACTTATAATAAATGATGATTTGTTCAATCGACATGTTGGGCTAATAAATCAAATTTCTTTTATTTTTTTAAATGCACAAATTATCAAGTGGTTTATTAATATTTTGCATATTTTATATAATTGTTTAAATATGTTTTATTAGATATTTTCTATATTGTTTTCTCCATATTTATTACATAGTATAAATTATCAAGTAGTTTATTAATATTTTGCACTTTTTTTTTAATTGCTTAACATGCTTTTTTAAAATATATCCATTACTTTTCTTAATATTTATTACATAGTACTCAACATGTTAATTGATCTGATCACATTTTTTTATATTGTTATATATAATCTAACTTTAATAAAATGCACATTACCCTGATAGATTTTTATTCGAATAACAAACCAAAGTAAAATATTTTTTAAATTAAATATTTTGAAAACAGCTTTTTCGTTATTTAATTATTTTTTTGGTCTTTCTAATATTCGGGTAATGCATTTTGATTAAAGTTATTAAAATTAAAGTTGAAACTAGCTGATTTGAATGATAAATGATAAAAGATAAAAGAAACTTTATACAGTTTAATTAAATATGAGTCAGTTTCTAATGTAATATAATTATTAATTTAATTTTTTACACTTTTTTTTACTATTTTATTAAGTATCTTGCACTAGATCATTCAAATCTTCTAATTTGTTTCATGTAATCTCAGATAATTGTAAAGGTTTCAGTTATTCAGTTATTCAGTTATTTAATTATTTTTTCTAATAATACTCATTTTACTTAAATATTTATCACACAATATTTAACATGCCAATAAATTAAATATCTTTATATAAACATTTTAATAACAGCGATAAATTTTCAATTGATTTTCATTCCAAATATATAATTTTCATTTTAAATCATTTTCCCTACAAATTATTTTCAATACATTTTTTTTATCATATTTTAATACTGAAACCTTTTCAATTATTATATTAAATTTGTTATAACATCTCGAAGCCAACACGTGGATAAAAAAATTTAAACAAGTCCCATTTTGAAAATTTCATGCCGAGACAATTTTATACAAGCATATTTAAAAAATGTTACTAAGTTTTTTAAATATGTACATAAAAAATTATCTCGAAGTGACAATTTCAAAGTGGTTTTTATTCAAATTTATTTTTAGTCTGCTTGTTGGCTTTGGGATATTTTTAGGGAGAGCAGTATATTTCGTAAAAAAGTTTCATCGCTAGGTTAGGTTGGAGAATATTAGTCCTGGGACTTATAATAGTTTTTTCAGAAGCAAAAAACCCTTTTTTCTTAATTTTTTTTCATATTTTCTACGGATTTTTCCGGAAAGTTTGTTGTTCTTCATCGCGAAGCCTCGATTGTTGTGTTTTTCAGGACCCTTGGTGATCAGTAGCTCATCCTGCTGCCACCACTGCTCTAAATCCTCTTCATAGTCCTCAAATTTTGTTGGTTCCACCGGGGTTCGAACTGCCTCACCTCCAACTCCAAGTCGTCTCCATCGGGTCTGCCGCTCTAACCATTGCTCCATCAGATGTCTTGACTATAAAAGTTTTTTTGTTCATGATAAGTTACAAATATATTAAAATTTATAAATTTTAAGTCCCTTACAAGTATAAATTTACTGTGGATTCGAACTGGCTCACCTAGGCATCCAAGATACCTAAGTTAGTCAGTCACTGTAACCATTGCTCCATCATACTAGCTTGTAGGTACATGTTATAAAGTAAATGATAAGTTGTGTATATAAGATGAAATTCAATATATGTATATAAGTCCCTTTTATTGGTGTTTTTACTTACTCGCCCTCTTCCGGCACCTTCATCCTCCAACTAACTCTTCCTATGCATCTTCCACTACTACATCAACCCTGTCCATTGTATTTATCTATACATTGCAGGTTTTTTTCGAAATATTCTAAGTGTCAAGGTCGAAATGCGCCACCTCAATTAAACATTTCGAACTAATGTTTGATAACTCCGAAAAATGAAGAATTGAATTTTTCGGGAATAGAACCGACGAACTTTGAGTTAACTTACCGGTATTCTTACGCTCTCGGCTATTGGGTTGTATTATAAAAACCTTAATTCTTAAATATAAAGTATTATTTATATATTTATATTTATATTTAAATATATATATATATATATATATATATATATATATATATAATAAATGTTTAATATGAACAAAACAGCACTCAGATTTTTTTAACACAACTTTATTTTATGATTACAAACGTTTCGAGACCATGGTGTGCCTCATCATCAGTGTAATTTCAATAACAGTTACTTATTACTAAACATTCTTTAATATTTTATTTAAAACTATATTTGACTTTTTAATATAATAAGTAACTGTTATTGAAATTACACTGATGATGAGGCACACCATGGTCTCGAAACGTTTGTAATCATAAAATAAAGTTGTATTAAAAAAATCTGAGTGCTGTTTTGTTCATATTAAACATTTAATATATATATATATATATATATATATATATATATATATATATATGTTAAGCACATGTTTCAAAGTTTTATATGCAAGTGGTCGAATGGCTAAGACCGTAAGATGGCTGTTCAGAATAATCTTAAGTTCACCGCTTCAATTCCAGCTAAAGTTAATGAAATTCCATATAACGTTCAAATCATTTCAAATTTTTCGGATGCATTTGACTTGATACTTAAATTATTGTAAGTATAAATAAAATATATAGCAACATCATAGAAAACTAGGTTGTATATACATTGTATACAATATATAAAGACTAGGGTAGGAGTAAAAATAATTTTTTTGAAATGAAAATGTATGAATCGATGTAATAAAATTTGAACATAGATCCATGGATAGTATATATATATATATAGTCATGTATAAATCGATATATACATTTATATATCCAATTCCCATACAAATTATAAGAGTTAGGTCATATATAATCATGTATAAATCAATATAAATATATATATACATTTATATATCCAATTTCCATGCAATTTGGGACAGCTAGTATATATAATCATGTATAAATCAATATATACATTTATATATCCAATTTCCATGCAATTTGGGACAGCTAGTATATATATATATATATATATATATATAATCATGTATAAATCAATATATACATTTATATATCCAATTTCCATGCAATTTGAGACAACTAGTATATATCTAGTCATGTATAAATCAATATATACATTTATATATCCAATTCCCATACAAACTATAAGAGTTAGGCCATATATAATAAAGTATAAATCGATATATAAATCCATGGATAGGTATCCATGGTTCAATCTGTTTGACGACGGTGGCGCCATCTAACACAGAACCATATGAACCCGGTAGTCACTACGTAGTTCTCAGAAAACTGGGAACAATTTTGCATAGAGGCGCTGCATGCAATCGCCTTAGAAATGTAGGAATCTTAGTGGATTCCCATTGGATTCCGTCATACGCTATTAGATATATAATTATAAGTCTCGGTTTTGAAGTAATATCAATATATACACTTATATATCGCTTTATACGCCATTAGATATATAATTATGGTCCTAATTTAGAAGGAATATCAATATATACATTTATATATCCAATTCCCATACCATCTGAGACTACTAGTATATATATAAACATGTATAAATGAACCCATAGATTTTTAAACTGAAATTTAAATATTTTAAAATCAAATAAACTCTTTCTCGATTAGTCAGATTTATTAGAGATATATATAATATGATCAACAATTAATTAAAACAATTCATTTTTGATAATTGAAATATGGAAAATTCTATGTCATTCCAGAAGATATACAACCGCAATTTAATAAATAATTTGTATGCTTTGTCATATATGGATAGCATAGCGTGATGTAGTTATTATATAATAAATAATTAAATTTATACTAATTATATTAAAATGTTGTAACAATAAATATTACAGTAATGTTAAATTTGAGACACTCTTGAAGAATGGTATGAACTTCCCAAAGAACAAGTTTATTTTTTTGCAAAAATCCTATTTGGAATTTTATGTTCTATGTGCTTAAAGATTAGGTCATGAATTTTATGTATTTTAAGTCCGTTAGTTGAATAATTGCAAATATTGCTTTAGTTGCATGAATCTTTCAGTTATCGACTAGGTGCATAATATAGAAAACAAAATTTGAGGAGAATGAGGACTTGGTAACCAGAGTAACCAGGGCAAACTAAGACACGATGAATTGTTCAATAAATAATGTTCCAACATAAGATTTATACCAGTAATTAAATGAAAGCAAAAAATCTGCTATGACTCTAACATTTGTTTCATGTTTTATGAAAACCCAGAGTGGACTGGGGCTTCCATTTCATTTATATAACGTAAAAATCAAGTAAATAATGTAAAGATAAATGGTAAGCAGTGTGTAAAAAATTGGAAATACTATAAAAACATTCAGGAATATGTAGAATGGTCCACTCTAGTTACCAACTCATCACACAAGTACTAAATATATTAATTAAAAATGTAAATATCTACTTATCGTAAGGAACATCCATATATCAATTAATAAAACTCTTTGGCCTCTTAAAGATCCTACTCGACTTCCATTAGGCACTCATATGTTGCTTAACATATTCAATAGCATCTTGCAGTATCAATTTCTCCGAATACCGTAATTGGATGGCACATTTGGTGGCATGACTCAATTTCACCCTATTACTGGTTTCGTTTGCTTTGGCACTATTTTCTAAAGCTAATCTATCAGCCTCTAAAGTCGTAGGATACACCGATAGCAATATTTGCAATCTGGTCAAAAGGAAAGTCCAGACCTTTTTCTCCAATTCGTGGTCTAATGCACAGTCCATGTGGAATAGGTCTTCTATGTGGTCACTGGATAACCAGTGATCTAATTGTTCTGTAACAATAAAAAACAAAATGATCAGTGTTATCAATTAGGATGTGATTTTTATTTTTATACTAGCTGACCCGGCAAACGTTGTTTTGCTAAGTAAGGTAGATTCTAAACAATTTCTAGAGAATCAAAAATATTAATATTGTAAGTGTACAAGGATGTGTTGTTTAAATGCTATATACAATGAGGTATTATAAAAACAATAAATCCCACTAGTTTGTCCATATTTTGTCAATACAATCAAACTGCAAGTTTTATACACTTTCTAAGGAAAACATGGTATAATCCATCCAAGTCCTTTTTGTTCTTTCGACTTGTTGATTACGTTTCAAGTTTTTCAGATTCTTTTTGGACTCTGGATTTTGTGTATAATTCAAAATAATACTACTACGAGGAGAGATAGAAAATGAATTAAGTATTTCTTCTTTGACCTGCTTTTTGAAAAGTTTCAAGTAACATTCGATGAATTAAAGTAAATTTAATAAAAAGTATATATGTAAAGCCAATTTGACTTAAAAATCAAAAAGCTTTAAGCCAATTTGACTTAAAAATCAAACCAATTATATCACAACAAATAACACATTTCAAATGAACAAATATCTGACTACGTTCAGTAAAACTGCCAGCTGCCATCATTGTAGAAATGTGTTTTTTGCTGTCTTTCAAAAATTTGTTATCTAGACCTTTTTACCCTAACGGCTAGGTGGCAAATAGGCTTAATGCTTTATTTTAATTTTAAAGGTATTTTACAAAATAATTACATTTTTAACTAATGCTAAAAAACTACTTTTATTATGGATTTTCAAAGATCACCGTTTATCTCGCGATAGCAAAGTCATAAGAATCAATGTTATAGCTGGTTATACATCTTTTCCCCTCTACTTTCAAATATTGTTGTTAAACAATGCTTAACATTACTGGTTTTTGGCACATCGGTGGTGGACCTTTTTAACCCCGAAATTTCATATATTACTATCTATTCCTTGATAAATTCTTGGAAATTTTAACTGGGAAAATGTTATTCGACAAAATGTCCCTTTGATCGATACCAGATTTATGTTCTGAATTTTAAATAACATAAATAAAATACAATATAACCTAGAAAATGTTTTATAAATACCAATAGGTATATAATTATATAAATGAGATCTTTCAGAGCACCGTGTTTGAGAAAAATATGGCAAAAAGTGCATTTTCATATTAACATTTCAAAAAAGTTAATATTTTGAGTTTCTAGTAACACTTGTAACCGTTTAATAACGTCTTTCTATATAAATAAAACTACAAACAAAACTACTTATTACAATTCAATCATAAGTAAATGATATTCACGTAAAACATCCTATTAAACGTAATTGAATATCATCTATCAAAAACGTTTGACATTTGACGTATTAGCCACCGTCCATTGTTTTATTCAAATTACGCTTCTACGAAAATTTTCAAATTAAAAATGTAAAGTTTCTACGCGATTTTGCAATAATATCTCACCTGTCCGACAACCTACTGATTAGCATGAACTTTTCAAGACTAAGACTGACCAAATCGGTTTAGACGTTTTCGAGTTTTATCGGATCATTTTATCGAGAGCTCCATTTTTATATATAAGAAGATTACCTTGGTTCATGTTGAAGACTCTGGCATAGGCCAATAATTGTGGTGTGATTGGTGCTGGATTTTTGGCCACACATAAAGTGCTGGTGCCACCACATGGTAAAGACAGATCGATCAAGGCTTTTAATCTGGAAGTTGCCAAAGGGTCACTTGGGCTTATTCCTAGTCGTATACTGACAGTGTCTCCTGAATTATCCATACAGACAAATCTAGAAAAATAAATAAAAATAAAATATATTGTAAGGGGTTATTGATACAGAATGAAACTAGTGGTGTATGGCATCGTGCCTTAAGGCAAATTACTGAAACTTCCCGTATCAGAATTAAATATTCAAAGGAAAAAAATTAATAATCTATAAATATTGATCAATGATTAATAATAATTGTTTTAAATATTTTCAAGGAGATAATTATGATTACTATATGTGACGATCTTATCGCTCAAAACACTTGAAAATGTTTACATTAACAAGAGTTGCTAAATAAATCCAACTGAGGATATATTTCTTAGTATATGAAATATATCACAATTATAAAAGATGCTAAATTTCGATTCTTTTCCTTTAAGTCGATATTGAGAAATTGATGCAATTTGCCTTGAGGTAAATTTTGTTATATATTTAGTTTAATTAATATTTTTTTTTACCCATTGTGTACAAGTAGTTCTGCATTAGATCTCTCTCCGTAGAATATGAAGACTTGGTCACCTGGTTTGTAGTCGTCTAAAGCTGAATATTGTACTGTCTGATTTTCTGGGATATAATCTGTTGTGATCTGAAAGAAATTATATAATAAATCAATTTTGGATAATAAAATCACATGAATATATAAAATATATTTAGAGTGTCTGGAAATAAGGAATTTAAGAGATCCAGGTAGAATAAAAAGTCTTCTTTGTGTTAAAGAAAATATCACAAGCCTATTGGTAATTATTGGTACTGGTAATTAAAGCAAATTTGAGACAATTTATCACTTGTTTAATAAGAATAAGATGGATATGTTTGGTATATGTTTCTTATCTCTATTTTCAAAAGCAATCAATACTGAAGAATCCCTATAAGCTGTTGTTAATGATACTTCTTAACCTCAGATCTTTTCTTTTCTACATAGCAGCCCAGTGTTCATGCTATCAACATTTGATATATTTTTCTTATTAGCATTTTTCTAATACGGTAATCATAGACATATGCTTAAATTAATGCAGCAAGGCCTGAAGGGCTATTTTTAATCGAAACATTTTTTTGTTACTTATTCTCAAAAGAATGTGGAATTCTCACTTCTACTTGATATCAGGTTGTCCAAAAAGCTGGTTAAAACATTGACTCAAATGATTATCCCAATTAAACACATGTTCCTAGGTATACGAGTATGTATAGATTTGGTTTAATTTGATGATATAAAAAATGTATTTCAATTTAATTAATCATTTCCAAGAAGATTTTGTTATAATCGGTGGCTAACTAACTTCACAAAAATACTAATTGTTTTGATCAAAATTGTATTAAGTAAAAACTCAATGAGCTCAATTATAATTCTTAACTACTTAGGCTTTTCTAGATAGCAACCCGATGGACATCCCTATCAGTATTTTATATAATTTTCTTATTGGAATATTTCTAATACGGTAATCATCTATGTTTGATTTAATGCAGCAATGACTTAAAGGGCTATTTTTAACCGGCAATATATTTTCAAGAAAAAGTAGATATCACTACTGCTTGATATCGAGTTGTCCGAAGTACGGGTTTGAATATAACCTTATTCATATACATGTGTGTTTGTATATATATGCATAATTAATAGCCCATTTTAAATCTGACAAAAAATAAATATTAGGTTTATTTGATTATCAAGTATATTAGGTTGTCAAATATCTCCCTTCCGCTTTTTTGATATTGGTTTATAATATAAAAAGGCGGAAGGGAGATATTTGACAGCCTAATATTATTATTATTTTAAGATGATATCAAAAATGTTTTTTTGTATAATTAATAATTTCTAGGCAGATTTTGTTAATAATCCGAGTTCCGATCGTATAACTAAAGTCACAAAAATTCTAATTGTTTCAAAAATAATTAAAAATCAAGTAAAGATTTGTGAAAATGAAGGAGAGATTTGAATACTATAAACCAATAATCTATTTTTTCAAAATAATCGACTGAATATAAAAAAATAATCTCATATAATGTTGCTTTGAATTATATTTTTTGTTATATTTATACATAAAAAATATACTTATAGATTCTCGTATATAAGCAATTTTATGCCAAAATCTAAAAAAATCAATTAAAAAATAAATTAAAGAAAAACATCAGTTACATAAGAACATGTTTAAGTTGTGAGAACTCTAAAATATAAAAGTATGCATTACTAATTAGTTAGAACAGTTGTGGTGTGATGGTTAAGAATTGTCTCAATCTCGGCCAGCTCCATATCAAGCAGTTTATCAAATTTCGACTTGAGAGGTCAATTTATTATAAAAATGCAGAGTATAAAAAAACTAACTTAATAATAATCTTCACACTAAATCCAGTAAGCATTCGTTTGCTAAACGATTCTTTAAAAATCTTAAAAGTTTTTATTATGTAGAAATTTGACATACAAAAAAATTTTATGTATTATATGAGTGTTTTAACAGAATCTTGTCATTTGTTATCTTTGGTTTATAATTTGCACACCATATTTTTTTTCTTTTTTATTAGGATTAAAATTATAGCCCAATGGCTTATAGAATGTAACTGCTCTGATTGCCATTTAATATATATTTAAAAAAAAAATTTTTTTTATTGAAGTATTGCCATGGACTTCAAATAAATATATAGAATAACATATTCATAACAACTTCAAACCAATATTAAACCAAATGTAGGAGTTAACTTACAAACATTTAGCGAACAAAATAAAAAGTATTATGTCCATATTTAATAATGATATAAATGAATGAGGTTATTAGTTAATTTTCCTTTCCAATTACCTGTCCATCTTTGTAGTTGGCCATGTCCCAGAGTGGGATTAAGGCCGGGACCATGACGCCTCCTTCGCCCACAGGAACAGAATTCTGGCGGGTCATCACAGTTGACACGGCCCAACTGGAAAATAAAAAAAAATTAATTATTAATCATTTGTTAACATTTTTTTATATTGTCGAAGACCAATAAGATCAAGTCGATATTCTATTAGTTGTTCAGCTCAATGTATAATTCAAGTAGTTTATAATTTGAGTACATAATAAACATGGTACATAAGAGATGGACCCTCTAATGAGGGTCACTATTTTTTGGAGAAGTTTTTTTTTAGTTTTCTTTTATAAGAATTATACGTATAGTAAGGAAAGTATTGTTAATTTATATTTATATGTAGAATTATTACTGAATAAAGAAATATATGAGTCATCTTTATTAAAAAGATTGTGTATTTTTTTTTCTTTTCTAAATTATTCTGAATTTTAGACAGTAACATAATTTAAATATTTTAGCCTTCTGAAATATTTGTGCCAGTTTTATTATTGCAAAGTGCCTTAAAACTGTTATCGGTAAAAATATTAATATAATAAACTGATGTGCATTATTAATAAGCACATTAATAATAAACGTGCCCAAATAATTTGCATTTGTAACTACTATTTCTATGACGCTTTCTGTCTTTAGTTTGATGATAATTCTATACTTTAATTTCAATTTTAAATTACTTGACTTATAAATAAACAATATGCAATGAATAATATACAATATATTTATAATTTAATGCTCAATTGACTGAAAAACTCCGAGACACTAAAAAAATAATTCAACTGATAGATAACACATTTTCCTTCGAATTTATAAAAGATTTGAATCAAATTTTAGTACATGTACTTTCTGATAATGTGTTTTGCTTTCTATTATTAATTAGCTTGTTTGAGGAATTTTATTTTATTTTTCATATAAATTGATAAGTTAATTGATTAGTAGGTATTCAAATTAGGTTACTTAAAAAATAATACTTTTCATACGTATTTGCAAAATATAGGCTATACAAATCATACAATTTTCTCTTTAGTTACAACATTTATAATAAAATCCAACATAATAAAAAATTAACCCTTATAAATTCAATTTCAATTATCATGGATGTATCTATCTAAATTAACAAAAACAAAATGTTGAATTCAATCATATTTCTTCTAGATAACTCGTTTGAATATATCTAGAGCAAACAATCTAATGAAAGTACTAATCTAATTATATGAAATAATAAATTAAATGAATAATGGTGTCATAATTAGGCGAAAAAGTAATTCTATTTGATAGACAAATTATTATTAATCGCAATGGAGATGATGATGGATGATGTGATATTACGAGTACTAATAAGTAATAATATCTCTAACTCAATAGCTGGAGGCATCTTTGTGATTACTTGTTTATGTGGATTTTCAAATTATAAGTTATTCATTTAGAGATAGTTCAATACTAATTTTTACCATACTAGATTACCGTTGGTTTTCAATTACCAATATCGGTACCAAAGATCAGTTACATCACATAGTTTCCGCATTTCTATCTCGTAGGCATAACATATAAACTGTTATCCTAACTGTATGTAAAATATAGCCTGAAGGATACGAATTCATTAATAGTTAGAGAGATAGTAATAATAGTTGAAATGTTTGCTGAAACTCTATTCGGACGTATTTTCATTTTATTATATCGGCCATGAAGGCGGCAATCTTCATGGCATTGAGCTTTTACACCCTGTAGAGGAGGTACGAATTTGGGTCGGACTTGTTTTTCCCACTTTTAAAACTAAAGTCCGCGTAACAACATATGTAATAAATAATCGATAAATATATTTTCTTTAATTAGAACTTTGTGACAAATCATAAAAATGTTATAAGAACTTACAACATAAATTATACCAACAAATCAGTCTTTCATGCAACTGATACAGGTATCGGGACAGTCATGCATCTTGCCTCAAGGCAAATACCACTAACACCTAACCTACACACACTCATCTGATACCAAGTATTAATTTTCTTCGCCAATGCATTTATATTTATAAGTTCTATTCAAAGTGGATTTTCTCTCCCGCGTCGCTAAAGTTATTCCATTATGGTTTTGTGTGCATTTTTTTTTCAATCATTTCATTTCATTATGTTATTGTTGTTACTATTACTATTACTATATATTATTATTATTGTTGTAAGAGAATGAATGAATTATAATGACGAATTATTTATCGTGTATTGTTGCATTGTCGTATGATCGATGTAGGGCAGAGAAACGCGTCGACTCTATATTTCTACTCTAGACTATAAGAACTATTTATTATTAATATTCGATGAGATTTCATTATTATTTATGCCCGAGAGAGGTAAAAGACTTAAAAAAACAGTGTTGAGAATGGTATCAGAGATCCGCATTTGTTGGTGAAATTTGTAATATCAGAAGGTGCAAAAAATGCTTTTTTAGAGAAACAGCAAAAAAACACATTTCAATAAAGATGAAACAGCTGGGAATTTTACTGAACATAGTTCGATGGTTGTTTGTTGTATATGTATATTTGTGTATATATTAAGCTATATACTTGTAAAATATTTGTATCAGGCTAACAGAAGCTCGTGTTCAAATTAATTTCTTTATCGACAATTAAGCGTTTGTACTTATATGTATCTTAATCCTATTATCCTACTATCATCATACATATATAAAGAATTTTTTGACGCCTTCAAAAAATATTTGTTTTTTTTCAGTTTCTGACATATTTCAAAAAATATTTGTATTATACAAACAGAAGCTCGTGTTCAAATTAATATTACGAATTTCATGCAATTTTGAAAGGCCGTAGAAAAAAAACTAACAATGATTTTACTATATTCTTTTTCCCAATGATTAATTGATTTTTTGAGAATATAAAAAAAAATAAAAATTAGAAATAGTCATAATTTTTTTTCTAATAGGTGAAGCAATAGGGAGTCTCAAAATGATTCCTGGTGAAATATTTTCTAACTGAACCATAAATTAAATTATAACCTTAAATAATTTCAAGTTAAACTTGAAATTCTCATAGGCAAGTCACACTAATAATTTCTTTTTTGTCGGCAAGATATAGTATTATTTATGCTACAGTTTAAAAAAAAAAAGTTAATAAGTTTTTTCATAGATATTTCTAATGCCTTTGGAAATTCTTTAAGAATTTCCCCAGACCTTATTTAAGAGTCATCAAGCGATTGCAGAAATGATTAAAATGAGTAAAGTAATAATCAGAACAAAATTTTGAATTATTCTAAGTTATATTAATCCTTTCGTTACCAGGGTCGTCTATGGACGACATTCGCATGACGATCTGCTTTCAATGTAATTTTTTTTATAAAATAAGGAATATTATATACAGGCTCAGTACTCTTCTTGAACAATTTTATCAAGTGTCACACAATTTTTCTTGCTAATTTTTCTTTCATTTCTCAACGTTTCAAGTAATTCTGAATCGTTTCAGATGACAATTGAGAAATAGTGTGTATGTAAACCGATTTTTGAACTTTCGAAAGAACGTTTCCTGACAAACGGCTGAAGCAATTTCAAAAAATTAAAAGCGCCAATTAAAGATCTAATTTTGGCCGACATACACATATACAACTTTGGTGTCAAATGATTCAGAATGACTTGAAATTAAAAAATAAAATTCACAAATCGAATTTATAGACGAAATCATTAACTTTGGATGATTATAGGTCGTTTAATATATTATTCTTTAAAAGTGCAATCTTTACACCCGCAAAAACAGAGTTAAATTAATTTCATATTTTCATAATTAATAATCATATTTAAAAAAAAAATTTAATCTATTTTTTTCAATCCTTTATTTTTAACCATGTAGCCCGACGTAGTGTAATGGTTAAGCTAGCATAAACTAGTCATGGGTTTCGTAATAACCAGCTCAATATCAAGCAATATGATGTCAAATTTCTGCTTGAGATCATAGATCTCAAAGGGAAACTCTTGTGAAAATCGCCTTTTGTGGACGTATCTGATATACAAAAAAGAAGAGAAGTTGACCGTTGGTTTGCCCTCTCTAGAAAAATACTAGGTTAGGATGTACGTTAACAAGCAGAGCTAATAAAACACTCAATTTTAAAATCTGTTAAAACACTTTTGATAAATTTAACATTATTTTTTTCAGCTGCATTGCAAATTCTTACTACTCAACAAAACTCTTATTTTCGTTCCATTTCTACGCGGAACGAAATCGCCTGTTGTACATATATCCGTCCATGTCTTGTACAGTTGTCTGAACAATTGTTCATGTACCAGAAGTGGTCAATAAAATTACTGCATCGATTTCAATACCCACCGATGACCATTGTAATGTAATAATGTTGTTCTTGTGTTTTATACAAGAACCTACCATAATAATTGCAGTATATTATGTATTACCATGTCTTGTGAAGTGGTGATATACAGTGCAGTCATCCACATAGACAACCAATGTATAGAGTGGTTAACAATGAAAAATTTCCGCATTTTCTAATATCTTCGCATGAAAGGGTTTTGTGTTGAGGAATTTGTGGTGTTAAATAACCAAATAACAGCCATGGTATAATTGGAGAATGTAAATTTAGTGTCTGATGCATAATATATCACTCCGGTACAACTCTTCCCTCGGAGTGAATCCGAGGGGAGTTGTCTCCCAGGATTTGTCATATCCGACTTCCCTAAACTGGTACTAAATCTGTTAACATGTGCAAATATTTGCTTGCGATTTTTTACTAATACAAATTTTTGGGTCGAAGAAAGTGTTTTTTTTTTCTCGTCTCACAGCCAGTTTTAGGACTTTCCGGGTATATAATGTCTCAAAATAATGCTATTTTCTGTGATATGATAAGGTTTTTTCGTAAATGAGCTCTTTCAATGGTATACAACCAGCTAAAAAATATTTAGTATTATATTATAATTTTTACACAATTATGATTTTATAATTGTGTAAAAGTAATAGTATGCTAATCAAACTACCTGATGTATAATTAATTCTCGAAAAGGAAATAATAAAAAAACGTGATTATTATTTTGTGAATAATATTATACACAAAAATTTGTTCTCATTTCATATA